GAGCCTGTCAACCATGTTATTTAACCTATAGTTGGGGGGAGAGCTTGATTTTTATTTTTCCCAAGAGTGTTTGCAAGAAAGTGAATATAATGAACGCAACCAGAACTCAAAGTCAGCTCACTAATTTCTTTTCCAACCTACTAACTGAAGATGCGTATGAACAGCAAAAGAATAAAATAGCAATAGTCAGAGCAACTTTTCTCAAAATAGTGCCTTAACTGTTTTTATTAGCAGATGGTGGGGAGAGACATGACCATCTACATCATGATGGGACATACCACATAATAGTATTATTCATGAATTAAAATCATGGGTACACACTCAAATCTTATGAGTGTACCTATGTAGAAATGAAGATCTGAATGACTGTATTTTTCTCTTGTACAATAATTCTATACTGTTTAATGCAGAAAGTAGAGTATTTTTTTTTTTTTAGATGTATCTTGAGAGCCATCACAGATAGAAACCCTCTAAAATAATACAGTGTATTAAAAAAAAAATTTGCATTTTCACAGATGTATTTTAATTATTTTTCTAAAACTGTTACCAATTTTTGTCTATATTTCTGAGATGAAGTATTGTAACTATTTTCATTGTTCAAGCTCAAGGCCATAGCATACAATAGCCAAAAAGTCATGAATATGACAATAAAGACTGTAAAAGTTTAAATGCAATGTTAATTGCTATCTACTGTCCTCCTTATTACTCTTTCCTCTTCCTACTCATTATTAATGCTTCTGTTCAAAGTTCTTCCACATCCAGTAACCCCTTGTGCCTTAGTGGCTTTATTGCCTTAGATGGGGTGAAACAGATTTAAAAAAAAAAAAAAAGGTACCAATTTTGCTTAAATATCTCTAAAATTACTCCATATAATTTTTTTTGAGTGTCTTGTACTGAATAAATTGGTGTTACATCAATTTGTAACCTGTTGTGTCTTATTGTGCTTTATTGCCCTACTTGGAGTGAAATGACTAAGAAAAGAAAAAAATTCCAAATAAAAGAAAAGAAAAAATATTCCAAATAAAAGAAAAAAAAAAAAAATCAAGAAAGTAAATAATTTAATAAAAAATTTTTGTTTTTAAAAAAAAGATTTCAATATAGAAAACTGAATTTTAGTTTAATTTTTCGATTTGGATAAAAGAAGGTTTCAAACTACGAGAAAATCTGAAAGTGAAACATGAGAACGTTTTTTTAAAGTTTAGCTTTGTTTGACACAAGGCTAAAAAATTACTCACAGTACTCACAGCAATTCAACCAAAATGAAATGATTAAAGATTTTTTTATTACATTTTTGTCAGAAGAGTCCACCCTATCCAGGTGTGCATGTGGATATATTTGCTTGAAGCAAACCACCCACATTTCCTGTGTATTCTATTGGTGAGAAATTCCACTCAACAGCTTCTTTCAGCAAACCATTGCCCTGTGGAACAGACTCCCAAGAGGATGTGCCCACCACCCTGACAACTGTAATATTAACCATTCAAGTCTAGTGTTAACTGTTATCTTCCCCTTCTATCCATATAAACTACCCCTTAACATATCACACTACCTCGAGTGCCCCTTCCCCCCGCCCTTGTACAGGGTGAAACTGACTGTAAAAAAAAAAAAAAAAAAAATGAAGAAAAAAAGAGAACAGGTACTCTTATGTATATATGTAGGTACCTGTTGAATCTTAATAGACAGTCATTATATACCCTCTGACATGTAATCAATGCATCTTAAATAAGCAAAATTGCTCACCTGTTCTTCATAAAATTAATTTTCATAAAAATAAAAGAAAAAATATCATCTACAGACATATTTTTCCATTAATGCACTTGTCCTCCCAATGGATTAATATAGAAAAGATTTAAAATGACTGGATCGATAAATATTACTTACAAAGTCAATAAGACAAGCCTTCTACTTGGCAATAGCTTCCCACTTTCAAGTGACAGCAAGCTTATCTCACTAGAACTAGCATATTTATTTTTATCTTTACAAGGTGCTCCATTATCGTAAACTTGTACCAGACTAAGTAAACATATATACATATAAGCTGAACACACTGATTTACAAAGATCATGGCAATTTTTATAACCAAATAGAGAGGAATTCACATTGCAGTCAAGTTGGGATAGATTTTTTTTTTTTTTAAATTATATCCAGCTGATGATTGATTTTATATGAAGTGTTTGGGACTGAGCAATTGTGATAACAATAACCGTCTGATAACATTAAGCAAAGGATATAAAATTTGCTATTATTACATTCATTGTTAAAAAAAATCTTTTAAAAAGTACCTGGAACTTATAAGCAGGACATTTTTAATTTTAAACAAAGTGTTTTGAACTGATAAATTTTGTTCACAATAATCGGCTGATGACATTAAGTCAAGAATATAAAAATCTTCACATTAAAAAAAAAATAGAGTACTGTGAACTTAGATTATAATAAGCAGATAATTTTAAATATTTTTTTGGATTGACTTATTTTGATAACAATAAGCGACTGATGACATTAAGCAATGAAAAGAAGAAATGGAACAAACTACATTCATTATATTATCAAATTCATTTGTTCAAAAATTTTTACATTGTAAAAAAATACCTGGAATTTTGATTAAAATATGGAGGTACTTTTTAATTCCTTTTGAATAAGGTATTTGGGACTGACTGGTTTTTACAACAATAACCAGCTGATAGCGTTAAGCAAAGGTTATAAAAATAACATTTTAGTCATTGTTATAATTTAATAATATTTTTATAACATGCATTATAAAAATCTTTACATTATAAAAAATACATAGAATTTTGATTATAATTAACAGGGAGTTTTAATTCATTTGAAAACTTTGGAATTGACTGATTTTGATAACAAAACTCAAGCCTAATGTTGGATGGAATTTAATTAAAAAACAAAAAAATTACTCTCTTTGGGATGGACTGATTTGGATAACAATAACTGGTTTATAGCATTAAGTAAAGGATAAAAATTAGAGCAATTTGTCTTGTTATAAAAGACTTCATGCTAAAAAAAGAAAAAAAAATTAATATTTACTAACTGGAAGTGTCCATCATTTGAAGACTCATGTCATAACATTATGCTTATAATAAACAGCTTCTTTAGAAAAGTAATTTTGGTTGCTTCAGTCTAGAACAAGGCATTTTTTTAGGACAGATTTTCATCATGACAATGTGTGTATATATTAAGTGCATAGAATAACTGTATGTATTAAAAAAGTCATCTAAAACATTGATTTGTGTGCTGGATATCTATGTGTTTTTGAGAAGGACACACAGGTATCTATCTACCCATTTTGACAAGTAATTGAAGAACTCCTGTAAGGAAATGAGCCCCCACCCCACCACCAACCACTCTTCTTTTCTTTTTTAATAACAGGAAATAAAAAAAAAGTTCAGAAAAAATTTCTGTGGATTAAAGAAAAGTAAATGACAGATGAAACAGGGGAGAATTTTCAGTGGGTAACAATATAATTTATCTGCAGAGACAAGAGGTGGGGGTACTGAAAGGTTTTCTGTTCAACCCGCAATTCTCGACCAAACAATTTATTTTTTTGCTGTGGGATAGAAGGCGAGGGGGCATTTTGGTTGGGCCCAGAACTTTTCAGCACACTTTGAGATTACATTGAAATGTGCAGATGGATATAAATTGTAAACACATATAAAAATTATTCTGTGAACACTTGAAACTGGATACATAAATAGAAAGAAATACCAAATACACGTCAATACCTAGAGAAAACGGAAAAAAGAAACTTTCAATTGTGTCCCTTCAGAGAGAATGTAGATAAAATAGACATACACAAGAGATTGGTACAAAATTAAATGTACAGCTGTGAAGACACAAGGGTAAAAGGTTGTTCAGTGTGTCTGCATTGAAATCATTAATACAAAGATATATATAAATAAAAACTTTCTCCTTTAATTAAAACTATATTCTTATAGGTGAAAATTTATAGAACGTTCACTAATTTGTGAGTCTTTCATAGTAAATTTACATCCAGGATCATACAACACACACACACTCTCTCATATATATATATATATATATAAGGATTAATAACACAAATATAAAATTTATTACTTAGCTGAATGAGGTTATATACAGCACCTCAACTCCAGAGTTTCATAGATGAACCTTTTTTGTATTTGTTTGGTCCACTCATCAGGAGCTTTCAGCAATTAACTAAATGTCTTTATTATATATATATATATATATATATTTGTGTGTGTGAAACATTCAGACAGCAAAAATTCATCTAAACAAGTTCTATCTGCTAATTTTTTTTTTTTTATTGTTTTTCCACACTCATTTTTATATATATATGTAGAGATAGATAGATATCACTTCAGATAAAAAATATACAATTATACACACATTATACCAACAAATTATGTAAACTATATTACACACACAAGTTTATGTCTTTTAGAAAAAACAGTATTCATCCAATACCGTGTGTGTGTGCGTGCATACACTCTATCCAGGTGAGAAAAGATGAAAAAAAAGGAAAATCTGAAAAAGCCAGAAACATGTCAGAATCCAAAAGAGATTTTTTTGTCGACCGCCTACCTGAATCTATTAACTTGTGGCCCGAGATCCTCAAGTGGTCATCCGGCTGGAGGAGGACAGTTAGCTGTGGTCAGTGGCAAAAAAGACACGGAAAGAAATAAGAGCCCACTCAAGTGGGATGGTTGGTCAGGGCTGGTCTCACATAAGTTGAAAGGTAAGTAGATAGGTAGGTCGTGGGGGAGAGGAAGGGGGAATCGGTCACTGGTGGAAGTCCCCCAAAAGAGAAAGCAAAGCAAAGCGTCCAAGGTTGGTCAGTCTGTTTGCCCATGATGCAGGATGGAGAAGGCCTACCACTGCGAGGTTAGACACCCAAAACTGTAAGTGGACTCAGAAGAGAGAGAGAGAGAGAGAGAGGTGAGGAAAAAAAGGAGGGAGAAGAGCACCAGTTTAGTGTCCAACTGAAGCCAGCAAGTGTAGCTCATCTAATGACACTCAGTTTTCTCTCTCTCCAAGAAAAGACTGGCAGAGAAGTATCGACAACCCTCACCTCCCCCCCGGTCCGCCTCCGCCACCACACAGCATTCCCTGAACCCACTAATCATACTGCCAACCACCATCCCGTACCAGCAAGCAGCAAAGCTTGGTTAGTGGCTTCACACCCTCCTTTCTCTAATACCACACCATAACCCCTCCTACCACAATCACCTCCTACTACTCGTCTCCGGTTTGATTCTCCTCCTCCTCCTCATCTTGCTGCTGCTGCTGATTGTTGGCAGGGTCCTGGAGAAGTGAAGATGGTGGCGTGTGTTTGTGTGTGTGTTCGAAATAATGAATGTGCACAAAGTTGGGGCAGCTGTGTAAAAGACTATGTATGTTGAAAATGCTTTGGGACACAGACACAACCTGTACATGTGTTATAAATATTATATTTAGTGGGTAGACAAAAATGTTTATCACAATAAGAAATAATGGATTTAAAAGAAAATCCATTAATTGCTTATAATTTACATTTAGAAAAGAAAATTATAAGAGCACAAAAAATTAAATAGAAAAAAAATAACTACAGTACCTTGTCAGTTGTTTTTAACAAAAATTGAATAAAAGAGGGATTGATGCCCAAATAATATATATATAATTTGGACATCAATCCCCGTTTTACATCATGTGTGTGTGTGTGTATATATATATATATATATATACACACAGAACACCTCATTCTAACCTGAAGAAGCCAGAGAGAGCAGACATTCTTGGTAAAATGCACTGTTCATAGATTTTACAGTCATCATTTTCACTTTTGTTTTGGATACTATATCCTACACACACACATTATATATATATATATATATATATATATATATATATATATATATATATATATATATATATGTATGTATGTATATATATATGTATATGTATGTGCTCTGAACAATAAAAAATATTAACAAAATTAAATTTTCAAACACACAGAGTTGTATATTAATATTTTGTTGTTTTAATTTATTTCAGTTAGGTTTCTCAATTAGTTTTTGGCCAGCATGGCCATCATCAGGATAAAAAGACATGTACAGATGATTAAATGACCCAGGACAAACTAATAAAATTTTATTTAGCATTATTTAGTGGGTACATTATAATGTTCATAATTTTAAGTAATAACAATGGATTTAGAAAAAATATTAACTGCTATATATAAATAAGTGTGTGTATGTATTCAAGTTTTAAAGAAAATATGCCTTATTAGAATATCAAATGCACAGGCCAGTAATTCCTTATATATGTGTGTATATATATATATATATATATATATAGGAAAATGGTATATAAATTTTCCTATCTCAAGAACAATTTCAGGAAAATCTATGACAAAGTGTAAAAAACATTTCATGTGATGTATTTCATCCTTTATGACTAAAGTGATGTTTGCATTGATGAAATGAAATCAGCTATATTGTGTAGCCAAAACACGCAAAAAAAACTTTTTTAAATCTAAAAATTTCAGCATCTCCTCTCCTTCATGTGCATGTTTAATCACATCAATGTAAACAGTGTGTGTGTGTGTATATATATATATATATATATATATATATATATATATTCATTGAGTCTAGAAGAATCCTCAACAGAATGCAGAAAGCACTGAACGGCTGTTTTTTTTCCTATTTTGGGACTTATCAGCAGTGTGCATACACTACTGAGAATTGAACCTGGACCATTCTTCTAGATATGATTATTATTAAAAGTGAAATTATTATTAAAATTCCCCCAAAATTTCTATCACTTGTATATCTTTGCTTGATTCAGATTTTAATGCTCTGGAGGGAGCTGCTTGGGGAAAGAAAATGTGGCTCTTGGGGCACAAATCTGTTGGGTTATGTATACTTGGCTGAGTATCACCACAGAATTTAGTGAGTAGTGGCGCTATATCAAATCTATTCAGTTTTTATTTTGTCACTGAGGCCCGTTGGTCCAGTGGTATGATGCTTGGCATTGTATCATAGCAGTGAGATTCTCGGAAGTGGGTGCGCACTGCTGATGAGTCCCAATTAGGATGAAAACAGCTGTCCAGTGCTTTCTGTATTCTGTTGAGGATTCTTCTAGACTCAATGAATTACTATAAATGATCATTCAAATTCCCCCAAAATTTCTATCACACACACACATTATATATATATATATATGGTGGACTCTCCCATCATATTTGATGTATGAGGATCAAGCAGCTCAGTTTCTAGGAACAGACAGCTCAAACATCATATGATTTGATTATAGTGGTGAAGGCTTTGTGCAGAACCAACCACACTTTCGAAAGGGCCAAATACAGAGACCTGGTGCACTATGTGCCATGAGGTCCCCAAACAACCTTCCTTGGTTTTGAATTTAGAGTTGTCCTTCTCCTAGACCAGTTGCTATCAAGGCAATAGAATCCAGTCTGTTCTGCTATTTACCCATAGCTCCAGATATATATATATATATATAAAGTAT